ATATATCATGATGTGATATTTTATTTTTATTAATTGATTTATTAATTATTTTTTATTATACTATTTAATACTCCCTTAATAAAATGTGTATGTACATATGTATATATGTATATATATATTTCACTTTTACATCAGGACATGATACAATACGATATGATATTTAATTTTTATTTATTGATATATTGATTTATTATATAATTTAATAGTAAAACGTCATTTTATTTAATTTGTTCTCGTATTGAACTTTTTGGAACGTTACATTAGAATAGGGTTCTATTAGGTGTTTGGTTAAAACCCAAAACTTTTAAATATTTAGTTTACATGAGATCAAGTAATCAATTTTTTTCAACAATTAATTCTTATATATCTATTTCTTTTTCTACACACACACACACACACACACACGACAACAAGGGTTTTTTTTTTAATTTTTCTCTCTACGAGATTCTTTTAAGTAATGAAACAATAATCCGTCTATCTCTAAAATAGGTAATAATAGTGGCTTCATCATGTTTTACTTCTTCTTAATTTTTTTTGGTGTTTGTTTTTCAACAGTTCTTTAATATTGTTATATTTAAATTCTTTAATCTTTTGTATTAATATCTTGAGATTGTAATGAAAATTTTTAATTTTTTTTATATTCAACCTGCTTCGCTATTGGAATTTTTGTGAGTGAGCCTAATACTTTATGTAATATTAAAGTTGTTGGATTTATAATTTATAAGGTATACAATTTGTTTGTTTTTTTTGTAGTTTACTTTTCTTATTTTATCTTTATTTTTGTCATTTATCTCATTAATAAATATTATATTATTAATAAAAGTTTTGTTCATATCTTTAAGATTTACTATCTCAATTTTGTGATACTACTATTAATCTTGATTACGGGTATTTGATAACTTTTACTAAAAGGCCTTCAGATGAAATAATTGAGAAACTTAAGACTGAGAGGTCTATTATAAAACTAAAGAAGAAATTAAATCAAGAGAATATTAAGAATCATATGGATTTTATATTTTGATTTTATGATTTGGTTAAGTTTTGGTGACTTTTGGATTTGAATTGATTGATGGTCCTACTTTGTAATATCCCAATTAAATGGTCCAATTATAAGGAACCAAGAAATAGAGGCCGTATGTGAAGAAAGAAGTGAAATGAGATACTAGAGTGAAAAGAGAAGAGGAAATGAAGGACTGAATTGAAAACCCAAGAACAAAGTCTTGTTCATCTTCAAGTTGGGTTCCTATGTGGTCAAGAATTTTAAAGAAGTGTAAATATTAGAAATTAAAGTGTAAAAAAGATTTCAATATATATATATCTCATGATCTTATGACTAATTTTTTAACTTTTGTTTATCTATTAGTGAATAAGATCATTCCATTTTTTGTTTTTTCTTTTTTTTTATCAAATTTATGTTGTAATATAGTGAGTCACTTACCAATTTATCATTTAATTTAAATTTCATATATTATTTGGCATATGAGAAGCCCTAACTAGAAAACAAATTCTTAAATACACATTTTATTTTTGTAAATAAGTAGAAAGTTTCACTTAACAAATTTAAAAAGTAGTTCTAAAACAAATTAAATGAAAAAAATTACATATAAATAAATTTGAACAAAACATTAGACTTTTTTTTTTCCATCAACTGAAAGTTAAAAAAAATACCATTATCAAATAAATACAAATACTTAAGAATTGACCTTCATTTTTTAAAATGAAAATTATTGAATTTCATATCTCAACTATCAAAAGAAAAATAAATAGAAAATAATGAATATATATTTAAAAAAATAAAATTAAAGTTTAAACTATATGGTACCGATATATTATATATAATAATTTATTAAATTATTTATATTATATATAAAATTATTAAACTCCTAGATAATTAGATTATAAGTTATTATTTAAAGTATTTATATTATAAACAAGTTAATTAAATCCACTAATGTTGGTAAGTTTTTAACTAAATTGGTTAAAAGTTTTATATTAAATTTGAGTAAACAAAGTGGACTTTTTCATTTGTTTTCATACGAATTTTAATTTGCTTCTAATGTATTATGAGATCGACATATAAAATTATAAATTGTTATTAATGCAAGTTTACAAATAAAATCATGCTAAAACTAAAGTAACGGTAATGGTATAAAAAAACATGATTTTGGTTTTAATATTAAAAAATCTGAAATAATTTCTATAGTATAATTTTATAAAAAACTGAGAAAAACTAAATTATAATCACCCCTAGCCATGGCTTCTAAATTGTGGGGATTTCCGCTTTGATAAGGCATTTAGGTTATGTATATACGCATGTATATGGATACAGACTAGAAGCCCTAAACCAATTTTTCTATTTCATCTATTTGGTCTCTCGAAATCATGTTCAACTACTAGACCATTCTGCTTTTGAAAACTACTACACTACAACCAAAAACACCCCTCACCGTTTTGCCCCCACTTCTCCAACCATTAGTCTTCGTAAAAGGAGGCGATAATTGCTAACTTTGCTCCCATGCTTCTAGGAGTGTCACAACTGGCTATCTTTGCCATCTATGACTATTGGTGAATTGCTACACATTCGTCCTTTCTCCATTGGCAACTATAAGGCTTATCTAATCTGAGCTCAAGTTGGTTGTTTTTGTGACCACCGGTGGGGCTTATCACCTATGTTGCCTCAATGGGAACTCGAACAAATCAGACAACTAGAGCCAAAAGAGCATTAGGCAATGGTCGGTTTGGATAGGGGTTTTGGATTAGAATCTATATGGTAATATTGGATTTGTAATTGAGAATATCGGTCTTAGATTTGGTTTAGAGTAATGGATAATTAGATTAGGGAATCCAAGTCTAGGCTTGTGGATTTGGACCTCTAGATCTAGTTTTAGGTTTCGGATTTGGGATTTGTGCATAGATTTGGATTAGGGACTTGGATTAGTGGATTTGATTTAGGGTGTGGATATGGATCTCTGTACTGAAACTTGGGTTCGGGTTTTGGATTTTCTACACTAAATGGGTGGATTGGGGGTTTTCTAGAATGGATAAAATCCTGCTACTTTAAGGGTTTGACGTGTAAAATTTTATAATTTTTATAGTTTTAGATTGCTTAGAGATTCCTCGTTATTGTTATTGATTCCACAGCATCAAAGTTCAAACCATTCAATTTCAACTTGTTTTGTGAGTGATAATATATGTTTATGCTCGTTCTAAATTCATTTCAAAGTTACAAATTGATCATATATATTGCAAAGCGAACTTGAATATGAAAAAAGTTTTGAAAGATATGTTTTGAAAATAGAAAGTTCTAAAAAATATGTTTTCAAAAACATTTTAAAAAACCTTTCGATTACTAGAGTTTAAGTAAATTCTAGGACAAGCACTTTCAAACTTTTTTGTTTTTTTGGACTGTGATATGTATTTATGTGATCATATATATGTTTGATGAAAGTTGTTTATGTATTTGAGTAAGAAGTGAAAGCAAACTTTGAACGTATAATACATGTGAAAGGAAACCTGATGGAACTAGTAAGCCTTAATTAGGATGCACCTTGCATTGTTTATTCAAATATGTTCTCCCTCAATAGGTGTAGTTTTTTAAAGTGAATGAACTAACTAGTAGGGATGGTTTGTTAGCATAGCGATTTTGAACCCAGGAACTATAGAGATGGTGGCAAGTAAGGATGATGGTAGTAATCCCACCTACAATGCTCTTGTTTGATTTTAGTTCTGGATTAAGACTCTTATTAATGTTTTGAAACATATGATTTGAGTGGAATATAATATGATATATTTGAACCATATGTTTGGTAAATTTGATTTGAAAGACAGTTTTGATGAAATAATTTTTTTTTTTGAAAACTTTTCATGTTTATATATAAAACATTATTGCACTTATGTTTGAAATGATAAAAATATTTGTAAAAAAACTCTTGTACTTAAGCTTGTCATGTTCCTGTCATGAGTATATGTTATTACTCATTGAGTGATAGATTCATTCCTCACTTATATTTTTTAAATTTCAAAGCTGGGCAAAGTCTTGATCTTTTGAGTTGCTAAAGGACTTATTTTTGGTTTTATGTCGTTTGGTTTGATTTGTTTCATTTGCTTTAGATTATGTAATGAGCTCTAGACATTCTCCATTATTCATAGGCAAGAGTCTTGTTCCTGCTGTGACATTTGAGTTTTAAGAAGGCTTATGTTTGTAATATGGATTATGTATACATTTCGTTTATCGAAGATTATGAGATATGATGTTTCTAATTTGGATAGACTTGCTCGGGTTGGGTAGTCTAAACCTAACGCCAGTCACATCTCTCAGATCTGGTCGTGAAAAAATTAATATCAGATCTCTATGTTACCCTGTGTTTGAACAAGTGCCGTTTAATGGTCAAGGCACCACAAGAGGTCTGCTAGAATGCAAGACATACCTAGATCAAAATACAAGACGGTGTAACTATAATTTAGGCCGGTAAGGTGACAGGGGTGCCAGTAGTTACTTCGAAACTTACCAATCTCAACATGAATTAATTTGGCGCGTTCATTTGCCAGTAGCAATAACTAAATTGAAAAAGACAAAATTATTGTGAGGCTCCTCCCTCAGAATTTAACCATATTGAGTTATTTTTCCATACCAGTTGAATCCTAAAATATGCAACGGTCACCTAGCTTCGTATGAAGACAGAAATTACATCTATGCATTCCTTCGACACATACCACCCACGTCCATGTACGAGGGTAGGGGAATGGGGCAAAAGGAGCAAATCTATTTAATAAATTTCAATCTTATTCAAAGGGAATACAATGACCATATGATCGCTTGCTATCGCCAAGCTTCCAATACACCAATAAAACCAACCAAAAAGCAACACATAACAAATTTAGAAAAGCAGACACCCCTAGTCCGGGCAATCTAAGTGTCTTTTTTCTTCCCCGGTATCCAAAACAATAATTGACAAGAGTCAAAAAGGGCCACCATTCCCTGTCATTCTTCGTCCGGAAGCTTAGGCCTCAGCAAACCTGTACATACCACAAACATAAACTCCCAGACGTCAAATGAACTCTCTCAGTAAGACACTGCTCGTTTAAGTTATGTAACAAATACAAGGAATAAAAATTTTACCCAAGTTCAGAGAGGTAACAAATACAAGGAATAGAAATTTTACCCAAGTTCAGAGAGCTTCAAGTGAGATTCTGCATAATCAGCAAAGAAAGCATCCTCATCCTGGAAGAACAAATCAATAAAAACCAAATAAAGTTCCCTAGTAAAATTCCCAAAACTGAAGCAGAGGAATGACAGATTTGCATACTGCAGCATATTTCTCAACAAGAGGACGGAAGACAGGATCATGGAGCAGAGCCTTATCAGATGGAAGCTGTAGAAGCCCTTCCTTCTCACCGCTCAAGAGTTCCCTGCTCAAAAATAGCATGCTATTAATACAAAAAAACACCCAGAAGATAATTTCCCAGACAAACAGTAGCCAAGGACCAGACATAGACCTCTCCATTTCTATAGAAAAACAGAGGATCTAATATCCATATACATATGGGACATAGCCCAAAAGAACGTACTGGAAAAAGGAGTTATCAAAGATGAGTGGGTAGGCAGTCCAAGGTCCATCAAAACCCGAACGATCCTTGTGGCAACTTCCCTAGGATATTTTGGAAAAGAAAAATGAGCATGACGCATAGGGAAATTACAAGGCCAATAACCACAGGAATGAGCTCAAAGGAAACAATTCCAGCACAGAATACAAACCAGGGTGTGGCCACCAGAGAGAACAACAATATCCTGATCAGTGAGGCCCATATGTTTAGTGAACACATCCCTCAAATGATCTGGTCCTGCAGGAACGGAAGGAATAACACAATGGTAAACAACACGCCAAGGAGCTCCAAGGCAGGACTTCTCAAGCACTGTTTTAAATTTTTCCAATTTTCAAATTTTAAAAGAATAGCATGAACAATACTAACCCTTGGTAGCATCAGGAAGACGACCTTCAACTGGTGGCTCCGCTTGTCCTGAGATAATAGAATGTTGCCATTAACGCTCCAAGCCTCAAGAAATGAGCGTATGCAAAAGTAAGCTCAAACATTTCTAATTTAATTATTTACCAAATATGCGCTGTATATGCTTTAAACTCTCGGCAATATATTCAAGCACGAAGCATGATAATAAAATGAAGATCAAAATTTCTCTCACCTCCCTTCCTGGATGAAAGGGGATCTCAGGGCCTCCAGTAACTTCAACGGCAACAACTCCAGCCAACTACATCCCAGGGTAACAAAGAAATCAAGTTTTGGGTCAAAAAATATGAAAGCAACAATCTCATGACCTGTACATTATATACAAATATATACCAAAAAAAAAAAAAAAACGTAAAGAGACAGATACCTGATAAAAATCAGCGTAACTAAGAATAGGGAACTGTTCCTTGATGGGCTCAAGGAGTCTGACGGCGATATCAAGGCCTCTGTTAGCGGCGTGCCCTTGCTCCGCCTTATGCCTCATTGTCCCGAACGGACCTCCAGTTTTGGTGGTCACATCGTAAGTACCGGCCGAGTGCCATCTGCAAAAGCAACTCCAGGATCAAATCTCCACCGATCACCATATAAAACCAGAAAAACACACATGTACTGAATGTTTATATAGGTTCACAATTTTGTAAGGACGTCTCAGATAAATCAATGGAGAGAGAGAGAGAGCATACGCGATACGGAGCATCAAGGGAGCACACTTCTTCTCGGCGATGAAGCCTCTGAGCTTCCTCTTTGCTTTCTCAACAGCCTTCTTATACTCCTCACTCACAATTGGATACGACTTCCCCATAGCTAACCTTCTGCATCAATTTCAGAAACAAAAACGAATCAGGTCAATGCTCCACAAGAAGTATTTACTCAATGATGAGCAGTATCAGTAAATGTACAGAAGTACACAACAGAGCAAAACAGAAGCAAACCAAGCACTTATCCGAGAATACCAAATTTCAAATCAAATGCCAGTCATCAGAAGAATCAAAATTACATGCACAATGTATATATACACACTCAGATTGCGATCGGCACAGAGGTCAAAGCTAGTACTCAAACACCATCGGCACAGGAGAAAAGAAAACAAAAGAATAAAAGAAAAGGGAAACGATTCTAAATGGAACAAAGATCAAAGAAAGCTAAGCTAAGGATCGAGAGATCAACATGTGAACAGTAAAGAGGGCGAACCTTCTGAAGCAGATAAGCACAGAGGATAGAAAGCCCTTACCGTGTATATATATATATATATAGAAAAAAATAAGAGTTAACAGTTGGAAAGAAATTAATTTACATAAATTATTTCCTTTTTTATATATCTAAAAAAGGAAAATGATTTATGTAAATCAAATTTTTTCTAATATTTATATATATGGAAAAAAATCTGGCTGAAATTAATTAATGGAAAGATATAAATTTAGATGAATTGTTTTCTTTATATATATATATATATATATATAATTCTACATGAGGATATAATAGATTAAGACATGATATTTTATTTTTGTAAATTAATTTATTTGTATTATTTAATGCTCCTGTAATAAAATGTATCTGTGTGCATATATACATATGTGTGTGTTTTTGTATGTGTTTCTTTTTTATATCAAGATATGATACATCATGTGAAAAATTTAATTTTAATTTATTAATGTATTATATTATTTAATACTCTTGCAGTAAAATTTTATTTTATTTAGGTTATTATCTTTTTCAACTTCTGGGGACATTAACGCATTTTTTTGTGTATTTGATTTATAATCCAAAATTTTAAAATTTTTAGTTTACATGGATCACGTAATCAATTTTTTCAATAATTAATCCCTATATATCTGTATCCTTTTTTATTAAGTTTTATAATAGTAATATTTTAAAAAAATGGTATTTAAGATTGGAGAGTTCACTATGAGAAAAATGCAATTAGTGATCGCAAATTAGTGATCATAGGAATGGGTCAGTAATTAGTGATCAACCCGCTCGTATATTTTGGAAAAGAATAATAACCGATTTATGGTCGCCATCACTTTAATTAGAAATCAGTTACAAAATTAGCGATTGTTACTATTTTAGTTACTAAAGGGTCGCTAATTAGTGACTGCATCTTAATCAGTTACAAAATGAGTCACTAATTAGTGATCCTCTATTAGAGGGTCACAAAGAAGGTCATTAATTTGGATGTGGGGTTTACAGTTGGTCACTGATTAGTGACCTTCATTTTGACGGTTAGATATGGGTCAATAATTACTAACCCTGATTTTAACGATTAGAAATGGATAACTAATTACTAATCTCGATTTTGGCAGTTACAAAAAGGGTCACTAATTAGTAACTCTTCTTTAGGCAATTACTATTGGAATCACTACTTAAGCAAATGATCCTTTACTATAATCACTAATTAGTGACCCAACTCTAGCGTTACAAAAAATATCACTAATTTATGACCCATTTTTGTTGGTTACAAATCAGTCAATAATATTTTTTTTTTTTTGTAATTAAATGTTTAGTTCACCAAGTCTAAGCCCAAGTAACAAGAAAGGTTTATTCAGTTACAAAGAGGGACTATTTTAATTATGAGTATGTCTTTGTTTAGTTACAAGCATACCTCTATTTATTGAATCAAGTCATCAACTAGTTTGGTTATGAGTAGAGTTTTGTTAGCTACAAACATAGGCTTGTTAAGTTACAAGTATATCTCCGTTTCATTACAAATAGGGAACTAAAGGGTTACGAGAGCAATGTTTCATTAAGTTATAATCAGGGACCAATTCAGTTGCAAGCACAGCTATGCTCAGTTACAAGAATATCTTCGTTCAGTTACAAGTAAAATACATGGTTTGTTCACCAATTATAGCCTAACTCACAATGTCGATGACTATTTTGGTTACCCACAGAGTTCCGTTTAGTTATAAGTAGAGACTTATTTAGTAACAATCACATCTCCATTTATTTACAAGCATCTATGTTTATTAAAAATATTGAGCTTTAGTCATTCATTAGTTTGGTTACGAGAGAAGTTCTGTTTAGTTATAAGCATAGCCCTATTCAATTACAAGTATATATCACCATTTATTTCACTAAGACAGTCTGATAGTCATCAATTGGCCAGGTTATAGATTAAGTTATGTTTAGTTACAAGGAAAAATCCATTCAGTTATAAGCATGTTTCTGTTTAATTTGAAGCATATCACTTTCAATGGATTTAATTATAATGTTGAAAATGAATATATGAAATAGAGGTCTGTACAATAACCAATAATCAAAACCAAGAAAGAATATTTGTAAAGTTGTTTTCCTAAATCTATATACAATATATAAGCTTAACCAATAATCAGTAATTATTTTCCTGCATCCATCTCCTATGAATAATTACTAAAAAAATTGGAAGTCATTCAAAGTGCTTCGTCTTGCATGTCAACCAAAAACTGCTATAATCGCTTATTTTCCTATGATAGGCAATGCGAAATTCACCTAATGTGGCTCATTCCCTAGCATCCATTAGTACTTTCTCCCAGTATTTATTTCTAGGGTGTGTTGCCCAATCACATACATATCGTTTTCTGAACTCTCGTATCATAATTTGCAGAAATGTATTATATTAAAATTGAATACACTATTTTGTACACATAATAATAATGTTGTTGTGATGAGTCACTTACAAGGGTATATTTAGTCATGAGTGTATTATCCCAAGTCTGCATGCACCTTAATACATACACTCCGGGATCACAACAGTATCCATATATTAAACATGAATAATATAGCGAGATATTATATGTTCCAATTAATTTAAATCTATACTAACCCATTTGATTGTTTAGGGAGTTTGATATATTCCAACTTGATTTGGTCTTCTTCTGCGGATTTATGGCCAAATTCTTGCAAAAGCTTCTCAAATTTTATTGCTGTTAGTCTCAAAGTTTCATATTTATTTTGATAATGTCAAAACAAATTAAAATTATTTTTTATATATTTATATAATGGACAATATGGACAAATTATAATATTAAGTTCATTGTTTAACTACATTATTTACATGTGCTAGATTGTGAAACTGTCAAATGAGATATGTGTGTAGTAAATTGATTATATCTTACTATAGAAAAGTGAAAAAATAATAAGACTAATTTTATATGAAACTATACTTAAATATCTTTATTTTGATATATAATTTATCTTATATACTATTTTATATTAAAGTAGTTTATTATATCAAATTTTTATTTTGTCTTCTGAAAAAGTCAATATTAAAATTTGTGCAATATTAATTTTAATTAGTAAAATATAACTTATGATATAAATAAAATTTTGAATTAATTTTATTTGTAAAATAGACGTGTTGAGCTTTAAATTTATATATTATATGCACATTTTACATTTATAGATTGATAGATATAATTTTTCAAAATTGGTCATTCTGCTGAGTTATGCTATTAACAAACAAAATGAGTAAACTACAGTGTTTTTATCATATCTCAAAATATAAAAGTCAAATTTGTACAAATCTAATTTTTAAATATTTCTAATGAAAATGCTAGTTTAAAAAATGAAACTGATAATTTGAAAACTCAACTTACTTCTATGTCTAAGAATGAAACAAATGATATATTGAGAAAAAGAGTTGAAAAGCTTACAAATTCTTTATCTAAATTTACTTAAGGAAAGAAAAATTTAGATAAATTGCTTGTTACTCAAAGATATGGTTTTAATAAAACCGGATTGGGTTACAAGACTTATCAAGGATAAAAAATTTACAAAAATTATTTTGTAAAAAGTTTTCATCAAGGTAGTCCATTTATTATATGTTATTATTGCGGTGGAAAGGGACATTATGCATGTGATTGTTCATTAAAAAGAAAATTGTTAGTTGGACTTAAAAATATTTTAGTTTCAAATGATTATAAATGGAAAGGAAAATATAACATTGCATCTATTTGAGTTCTTAAGGGAACATATGCTAACATTGTTGGACCCAAGAAAGTTTGGGTGCCAAAAATTAAAACCTAATTTATTTTTGTAGGAGATTTGTATGAAGAGCACCACAAGAAAAAATAAGTGGTTTTTGGATAGTGGATGCTCAAGACATATGACGGAAGATTATACAAAATTTAATTATATTTTGAAAATAAATGGAGAGCATGTGACTTTTGGAGACAATGCAAAAGGTAAGATTATTGGTATTGGAGAAATTGGTAACCCTAACTCTTTCATTATTGATAATGTTTTCTTTATTAATAGCTTAAAATATAATTTGCTTAATATTAGTCAATTATGTGATAAAGGTTATAAAATTATTTTTCAAGATAACGCATACAAGGTTTTTAATAAGAATAATACCCTAGTATTTGTTACCTTAAGAGATGAAAATATATATACTATTGATTTTGATAATTTGGTTGAATAAAATGTGAAATGTTTGAGTGCATTACATGATGATTCTTAGCTATAGTATAGAAAGTTAGGTTATTGTAGTATGGATATAATTTATAGACTTTCAAGAAAACAACTACTCATTGATTTACTTAAACTGAAATTTGATAAAGATAAAATTTGTGCTCTTTGTTAATTGAAAAACAAAGAAAAACTTCTTTTAAATCCATAAATATAGTTTGTACATTTAGGCATTTACAACTCTTACATTTACATTTATTTGGACCTTTTCAAATTACTAGTCTTGGTGGAAAACTCTATACTTTTGTAATTGTTGATGATTTTTTAATATTTACTTGGGTATTATTTTTGACTCACAAGAATGAAGCACGTTCTCAATTTTTTAAAATTTTGTAAAAGAGTTCAAAATGAGAAAGATTATATGATTTCAAAAATTAGGAGCGATCATGGTAGGGAATTTGAAAATAATAAATTTGAAAATATTTGTAATACTTATGGATATGAGTATAATTTTTCTACACCTAGAATCCTACAACGAAATTGAGTTGTTAAAAGGAAAAATAGAACTTTACAAGAAATGGCTCGAACTATGCTTAATGAATACAAGCTACCTAAATATTTTTGGGTCAAAACGGTTAATACGGCTTGTTATATTTTAAATCGAGTTCTTATTAGAACA